CCCGTTATGATTTACATAGCAAATTGGCAATAGAAGCGACAGGCGCGTTCCGGGGAAGCTGCTCAGGGCTGGAAGATGTGATCGCTGGGGCCAGAGGCTTATTTGTCTGACTTTTCGGATTCTGTCTGAAACCCTTCTTCGGAGATAACCGTAGAATAGGGTGATACATGCATAGATTACGCATTTATAGTAAGTAGTGGCCACGCGACCTCAGGCGGCTGACAGCTAGGCGGTGGAAGGAGAGAGCGAGGTCGACCCTCAGCGCATTTCTTTCCTCACTATAATTAATCTGATGCGCCTCAAACTATCGCGGTGCGCTAAAAGCTGTGGCCTAGAGGATTGTCAGCTGACGGGATAACTTGGACACCGCAGTCGGTTCAATGCGTCTTGTTGTGGGGTTTGCCTGTCTGCGTGCTGAAAGTCATATTCAATAGCTTCTTATTAATGCGGCCTTTATGGCGCTCCCTGTCGGAGACTATCTAGCGAGGTGTGCTGTTAGTACGCGTGTTGAGTGTTGGTCTGCGCCGTCTGCGCCCTCCTACATCTCCGGCCTTCTTGACTCCGTCTTGACAACCGGGTCCCGGTGTGGGAGTGGTCAGAGAGTGAAGTAGATTCTCCGAGAGTCTCCTTCGCTGTTTACCTCTCGGAAGTCACCGCGTTGCTTCAACTCGTTGAAGGTCGTACTGGATATCGTCGAAATCGACGGTCGAAACGTCGGCCACGCAACCGCATGCGCATTATAATTAGTAGCTCCTTACTAAAAGGCTTTCTTGGGATTAAATCGACTCAGTAGATCGAAATAACGTGACCAAATATATGCTGATCTAACAAGTCCAATTTTAATCATGACTTTGCATGAAGTCCTTGCCGTTCTGTATGCCATGGGACTCTTATCGCAATATCCACCTCTCACTCCTTCACTCTCGTTCCTCTTATAAACGCAGGTACTGTCTTCATAATTGTAAAGATTTTTAGTCGACTATTTTCGAATATCTAAAATTTTCCAAGAATCCTTCTTCGACGTTGGCGATCGCGGCACACGTATTCACTTAAAGACATATTCACATATTCACGTATTCACGACGTATTCACGATAAAGACATATTTTACACTCAGCTACAAACTTCGGTTGAAAGGCTCC